TGATGTATGTTATAGCATATTTCAGGCAACATACATTCTATCCTCCTATTATCCTATTATCACTGATAGGAAAGCTAAAAGCTAGATTCCTTGCAGCTAGGATTCTGGAAATGATTTAGGATGAGCTTTTCAGATACACTTGAGTGAGATCTAAGAAGCCAGAAGTGAATGGAAGCTACAAATCTCATACTTCTGCAGGCAGCCATCGTTTAGTCACTATTTGTGTGCAGCAGCAGCAATGGCTAGACTCACTGTCTGGCCAATTACCCTGTTGATGGATCATAGTTATTTTGGAACTGCTATGTTGGTGGCCTGGTTTGTGGTGTGGTTTTAGGATTTGTTCCAGAAAGCCCAACCTATCTAGAGTCTACTTCATCAGCTTTCTAATGATCTTGTATGCCTTAGAATAAATATAGTCTTATTTATCTTGTTAGAATGGATTCTATTCCCAGAAGCTGAACTCAAAATATCAAAAGACACAAACTTCCTCCACAAGGGTAGGAAAAAATGGTATTTGTTAATTTATACTACTAGCCCACCATGAAGTGTTATTTTATTTGATAATTACGATATTCTACTCATGTTTTTTTTGTTTTGTTTTTGTTATTATTATTGTTTGGGGGACAGGGGTCTTGCTATGTTGTCCAGACAAGTCTCATACTCCTGGGCTCAAGCAATCCTCTGTGTTCACCCTACTGAGTGGCTGGAATTGGAGGCATGGGCTACCATATTTGGCCGAATTTCAGGTTTTTTGGCCAAATTTACATATAACCTCTACTTAGGCAAAAATAATGTGATCCTTTGGTGTGATCCATCGATGTGATTCTTCTAAAAATTCTTGTTGGTACTCCTGGAAGCTGAATAATTTGGATTAGTCCTGATTCCCTTCAAGCCTGTGGTTCTCACCTACCATATACATTCTTAGGAAAAATGCAATCAATATATTCTCCTTCCACTATCCTCTCAATTGAAAATGATGGTGGAACCTTGAAATCCTCAATGTCATCTCAACCTTGTTAAAATAACACAAAATTTAATACTAGGCCTTTATTTTCTTTAGTTCTAAAAAACTTATCAAGTAATTTGAGAAAAATCTAAACTCAAAGTATGTTAAAAAATTTACTATCAACCACAAAATTCTAACATGCAAAAATAAAAGCAAAAACAAAACAAATAAAAACAAACCCTACTTGATATCCCTAAATCCCAAAGCACCATCTTGGATATCAGAAGACAACTGCTCTATAACATTACCAACATACTTGGTTACCAGTATTTATTTATTTGTGGTGCTGGGGATTAAACCCAGGGTTGGCCTCACAAATGCTAGGCACATGCTCTACCACTGAGGTACATCTCCATCTGGTTGGCTCTTGCTATTTAAAAGGATCCAGGCAATTAGAACTTTGTACATGTCCTAGCTAGTACGATTGATCAAGAATCTAAGAAAAAGTTAGGCAATCAAAGGTTGAAGGAATTAGGCATTCTTGGAAACAGCAATTTGATATTGTATTCCAAGCAATACTGGCTACCCGGTCCTTCAAAATACCCTTRATCATAAACTGGTGGCACTAAAAGACATTTCTTGTATTCTCAGTGGACAAATGTAAGTAAAATTATATCTGAAAGGCATGGAGAAAATTATCAACACCGCTTTTGCCTATTCATTTTACTCCAGCAGTTTCAGAGGAACAAAGTTAAAAGAAGTGATTCTAAAGATACAGTTTTAAGCCAAACTTGGCTGAAATTCAAGGTTCTTTAGTAAGCAACATCACTTTGTTACCATTGGCCTTCAGGTCTTTCCCTAAATTTAAAATGGGGCTCCCTGAGCAACCCAAAGCATGCTATCATATACCTCTCTTGTCACATGTAAAAGGTAAAATTCTCATTCATCCAAGAGGCAAAAGAACCTTAACAAGATAACTTTGATGAAAGACCCTTCTATTAGCAGGCAATAATAACACTTCACAAAACATGATCCACTTTAGGATTTGAGGTCAGAAAAGTATAGAGTTGGTTGGTTTCACCATTCTTCCCTTCAGGGCTTTGGGGTTTATGTCCATTTTTTAACGGGCACAAACTATTTGAAAACATTTCTAGGCATTTTTCTTTCCCAACTACTTTGCCCTGTCCTTGCACCCACCCTTCCACCTTAAATTCTTATGAAGGGATTTTTTAAAAATCCTGGAGTTCAGAACAAAAATTTAGCAACTTACTTCACAATTGCTCCTCAAAATTGTCCATAATGTGTTTAGATAATAAATGGTGTATACTCAGAAAGATGAAGAAACATCTAGCCAAAGAAGTCTAGACATAGATCAAGGGCCCAGGAGGGCAGAGCTAGCTCTTAAACAATATAGACACCATCTGTCTCAGGTTCACAGGGATAACTCACAGGCATAGCCATCAGGGTTGGACAGCCTCCAAATGCAGGCCCAACACACTCCCATATGCCAGAGGTTAGCAATATATATCCCTCTCACCACCGTCCTTTGAAGAAAGTTTTAAGAGTTAAAGTTATCCAGTAGCTAGTAGGCAGACTTCTAAATGACCTCAGGGGAAGTGAAACTCTTCCAACAACAAGGGCAACTCCCCAAACAGTGCAAACTTTGAGATGATCAAGGGAGGACTTTGATATACATACATGTATAGATAAAAGAGTTAAGTTATATAACACGGAACACCAAAAATGTACTTGCCAGTATACTGAGTTCCCCACAAACTAAACACGATGAAGCTAAAACCTAAAATGCTTCACTTTTAGCCTAAAATATAAACTTCTCTGCTTCATTTTTATGTTATATACAAATAGAAAGGTAGTTTTTAATTTTTTAAAGATTGGCTTATCTAAAGCTATGACAGTTTTAAGTTTTACACACAGAGTATTTGAGTAAAAGTTTTTATGGAACTAAAAAATATGTTCACAACACCAAGGCTCATTAAAATATTTTAATACTAATATACATTTTCTTCTCTCAGACACAAAACCCTTAAATATTATATAAGTATTTAACAATAAAACCCTATTGACATAATATTCAATGCTACAAACAGAATAACCTACATGTTCAAAAATTTTTTCAATAAATTTCCTGCTTACATTTTTTGGGGTATAGTACAGACCCCAATGGAATGAGGATTGCATCCATTAGGACAGTTACTATTGTAACTTTTCCACAGCGTAGTGTGTATGCAATCTTACTGCTGATGAAATAGAGAACTGTAATATTTTCCACGTCTTAGTAGTCTTGTAACAGAACAGAAAAACATCCTGTGTGCTGCATTTCTCGAAGGAATCAGTTGTTGTAACGATCCATTGGGGCTTGTTTCTTCTGTCAGTGACTTCTGAATTGAATGTTCTCAATATGCTCATCCCCACTGCTCAATAATTGCCTAATCTATTTACCTAGGATGAGCTGCTTCTTGAACTGGAGTTGATGATGAGTATTCTTTCAAATTAATGGATGAGGTAGCTTGGTCAATGTAATCACCAAGGCTGAAGTGAAGAAAAAAGGAAGAAAACAGAAAAGTTTTTCCTATCAACCAACATGCACATCCTTTCTACTCATCCATCAAACAGTTTTGGAGAGATAAGAGGTAAGAAAAATGAAACGTGGAAGATTAATCCTGAGGGAGCACATGTGAGAGAATAGATTGAAAATGTCTCACCTAAACTGTGGTTCTGTTTCTCCAGTCAGGTTGCCACGTTTTTCACTTACATTTCTATTTGACAACATTCTCAACTGTAAGAAACATTCAATCAGATAAACCACACACGTATATACAGTATACAGAATGGCACTGGCCACTGATTTAACATAGTCATGAAGTACACATGAACGTAAGGCACTTTTGCGGTTTACAGAAGTGAATGCCTCAAAGTTAGATATTCATCAAAAATGGAGAAATGTCCTCATAAAAGTTTATAGGAGCCCTGAAAAACCAAATAGGTATGAATCATGAGTGATCTTGGCCAACATTTTAAAAATATTAGGACAGAGGTATGAGATAAATAATTGTTTAAAATTACAGAGTTTTATACATCAGTGTCAGGATTCTAAAATGCTCTTATAAAAAACTATCAGTTCTAGGTGCTTTTAGTTTCTCAACCACAGAAGACTGTAGCAATAATCACACATGACTGTGTGAATTTAGTGATACCAATATCACATGTTATAAAGAGATGTATAAAGAGATTAGAAATAATAAAAGTTTTGTTTTAAACTACTTAGAAATGTGAAATATCATGTATTTTCTTGAAATTAAAAATTTTAACTTTCAAATATAAAATTGTTGCTCTAAGTTATGTCAGCTCTTCTATGACTCTTCAGAATTAAAAGAACGTTTGCAACATACAATACACTATACTAGATTTTTCTTCTAAGAGAGACAAAACAGCTTATTAAAGCCAAAAAACTGATTTCAAAGAATAATCAACTTTTTATTTCACCTTTACCAAAAGATTCTTTTCTTCTTCTTCTTCTTCTTTTTTTTTTTTTTTTTTTAATGAGGTGAGCTTTCACCATTTTGCCCAGGCTAGTAACAACTTATCAGCCTGGGCTTAAGTGATCCTCTCCATCTCATCATTCCAAGTAGCTGAAGACTACTTGTCAGCTCCTCCCCAAAATTCTAAAAGAGTCAAGTCTTCTCTTGATCCTGGTCAGTTAAGGATAGATCATTAACAAAGTCAGGGATTCAAGACAGCTAAAACTTCACCTTGCTTCTTCATTCACAAAGAGCATGAAATTTAATTATTTAAAATTCTTATTTCTGTTATACTATTTTGATGATTCAGTGGGGTTTTTAATCTAAAAGGGTGACTTTAAAACCATTTCTTTCTTTCTTTTTTTCCCCCCCAGTACTGAGATTGAACCTACGGGTGCTTTACCACTGAGTCATCTCCCGAGTCCTGCTTATTTTATACTTACTTAGCTTTTTTTTTTGCAATCAGGATCTTGCTAAGTATCCTAGGCTGGCCTCAAACTTCCAATTCTCCTGGCACCTCTCAAGTCACTAGGATTACAGGCATGTGCCACCATCCTGGTTTAAAATCTTTTTCTTAAATTATAATTAAAGAACACAATTAATACATTCTTGTTGCTGATATGGAGGTTATAATGCATACCCAACCCCTTCCATTATTTACAATTCAAACCGTTGCTGCACTTCATCTGCAATCATTCCAGAAATTGCAAGGGAGGAAGTGGCAGCAGGGGAAGGAGCATTTCTCACATGAAGAATGCGACTTCCAATATCCCCAACTCCTCCATCAAATACAAAATCATCTACCAGATTTCCATCTCTATCCAGAGCTTGGGCTCTTACTCCAGCTGGACCTCTGAAAAAGCAAAAAAGTAGTAATCAATTGACTCATAGAGATAGGACACTTTCTAAGTTAATGGTTTACAGTGGTTTACAAAGTATTTTTAAAGCAATGAAGTCTTTATTCTTCTAAATGTACAATTATATGAAAACCCAAATAGGTTTATGTTTAGCCAAAGACTGTCATCAAGAATCTGGCAAACCTATGTCCTAACCTATAGCATAATGCTTATTACCTGGCAGCGCAACAAATGCTTATCAAATATATGCACACACAGGTAAGTTACTTATAAACATCTGTTCTTTCCTAAAGGAGCAGATAAATTCACATTTAATTAGAATAGATTTATTTTTATTTAAATTTATAAAATGAATTTGTTATAAAAATCAATCAATGACAACAATAAGGCTCTTTTGGTTAATACAAAGCAATGAAAACAGGAATTATGTGCTTTACTTGCATTCTTTATCCTTTTTTCTGTATTTTGTCTTGATAGGACACTATTAAAATTTATGGAGGAAAAATTAAATGGTAACAAATTCTCATTTGTAGTTTTTTTTATTTTTAGCAATCTAACCTTCAATATCAAGATAACCAATTAACTAAAAAAATGATAGGAAAAGCAAAAAATGAATGAATTCAGCAGCATGTTAATACAGCAAGTCTTTACTACCTAAAATCCTGTTTTATATCATTTGAGTTCACAGATTTCTGTTTAAAATACTTAATGTTTTTAGAGTCATAAAGCACCTCCTTTGGAACTGCTCAAAGAAACTCAGTGTGAAAAGGCTATCTTACACCACCAAGACTCAAGAAATTAGGCAACAATGTGAAATATTTTTTACTGATTCTGGGATAAGTTCTCAGATAAGTACTTGAGGAAGATAGACAAAACGATAGGAGAGTTAGACTTAAACCTGCCTGAAGAGAGATAACAATAATAATAGCTATTATTTACTAAGTGTTTATCTTGTGCTAGGAGTTATCTTATTTATCCTTACAACTCTAAGAAAGCTGATGCAGTTTATATTTAACAGCCAAGAAACAGAAAGATTAAGTTCCTTGCCTGAAGTCACACAGGTATGCTGTGCATTTATAGTGAAGTATATAAGAATCACAAGTGTAAAAGATACTATGATTAATAGTAAGGTAAGTAATTTGCCCTAATGAAATCCTAGAGAATTTGGATAGGAAATTCTTGAGCGGGAAAAATTCTCAATTTAAGAATCTGATATTTTAGAACACAAAAAGAATGGCCCTGAATGCTGACATTTCTAAAGGTAAGGATACCTATCAGTCTATCAGTTAGTTTCTGGTCCATCCTGCAAGTCTTTATTTATAGTTCATCTCAACTCATCAAAGCAACATTTCTCAGCTGGGTGTGGTGACAAACACCTACAATCCTAGCTACTCAGGAGGCTGAGGCAGGAGGATTGCAAGTTCAAGGCAAGTCAGGGCAATTTAGTGAGACCCTATCTCAAAATGAAAATTTTTAAAAAGGGATATCGCTCAGTGGTAGAGCACTTGCCTAATATATGTGAAGCCCTGAGTTCCATCCTCAGTAAAACACACACACGCGCACACACACACACACACACACACACACACACACACCAACCACACCAGTGTCCCTCCCCTTTTTTCTTAGAAAATACTACTGTTGCAATTAAGAATATCTCTGTTTGAATATCTCTGACCTTTTTCTTGTGTCTGGCAGAAGATCAGTATGTTGACCAGATGCTGATGTTCCGTGTTAATGTAAAATCACTTTCTTCTGTAGAGGTTTAATCAGTACATTCCTCTTGCTCCTTATAAGTATGTTGAAGTTAATACTGATTAACCACAAGTTAAAAATGTGTCCACACTTATTTCTCTTATAAACATGTACTGTGTCCTCAATGTTCCCCACCCTCTTGCCTAAGTGTTCAAAATCTATAATTCAAAATGAAAATAAAATATTGTTTTTCTTCTTTTTCTTTCCTTCTTTCTTTGTAGTACTGGGGATTTAGTCTACTAGTGCTCTACCATTGAGCTATACCCATACCCCTTTTTGTTTTGAGACAAGGTCTTGCTAAATTGCAAACTTGTGATTCTCTTGCCTCAATCTCTTGAAATGCTAGAATTATAGTCATGAACCACCGCACTCAGATAAAATACTGCTTTACTAAGATCTGACTTAGTTTTTCTTTGCAGGATTATATAGGCTTTCCCCACTGAACCCTTTGGCTTGAGATAACTTGAAATCCATAAATTTCTTTGAGAGTATGAACAGTGTCTTGTACAATACCTCACCTCTCCCTCCATGACTAGATTGTGTCTTACACATAGTAGGTATTCAGTAAAGCTAGAAACTGAAAGTTTTAACTTCTGATTCTTTTAATATTATTTTAACAACTGAAAAAAAATGATTTAACAAATTAATCTGTAAATCCAGCTACAATTAACTTACTACTATCTCTAACTATGTATTTTGCTACATTTCTAGCTAAATTTAATGAGAAGGTATATCCTAAATACTTATGCATGTCCAGAAACAATAGGGGAATCTATAATTACATTCATTCATCTGAAAAGTCCTGTATTACATTATTGTCACATGGCAGGCATTATACTTTGGGTGGGGGAAACAGCTATGAAAGATAATAACTGACATATCTGGCCAGTCCCAAATAGGATAATGTAGAGTTTTATAAAGCTCTTGATAGGACCTACTGCTAATCTAAAAATACAAGTCCACATTAGTATGTTTAAATTAGAAGTGGTGATAGAGGAAAATAAAATAAACAATTCCAAAGTAATTTCCATACATGTAGGAATGGCATTTGTTTTTTTTTTTTTTGCTTTAAATATTTATTTTATTCTTTTTTCTTTTTTATTGGTGCATTATATTTAATAGTTGCATTCATCATGCCAAGATGCACATAACATAATTTGATCAATCTCATTCCCCCGTACTTCCCCTTTTCTTCCCTCCTCCCTCTCCCTAAGCTGCTTGCTACTACTCTGATTTCCCTTCTTTATTTTCATTTTAATCAGTATATTACAATAATATATGTAGGCAGGATTCATTGTGGTATATTTGTACATGGACATAATTTGGTAGATTTCATTCTCCAGTACTTCCCCATACCCTCCTTTCCTCCCTCCCTCTTGATCAAGGAATGTATTTTTGTTCCTAACTAGATTGTGACAAGAACATTGTTTTTCTATGCATACTTCGCCCCCCCCACCCCAGTGTTAAGGATTGAACCCAGAGCCCTGCATATGCTAGATAGGCACCCACTCAGCAATCCCAGCCCTCTATGCCCAATTTTTGAATTTTGTTGAGAATCTAATTTAGGGTTTAGAACATTTTGAGCTTTTGTAAATGTTCTATGTTCTACATTCAAATGGTCTAATATTTTATATGCTTAATTATTCTTTTATTTACAGATACATCTTAAAATTACCTAATACTACAGTTGATTTCTGTTGCAATTATGTCAGGTTTTTCCTCTGAATTTCATAGCTATGCTGTTATATGCACAAGTTTATTTCTAATAATATTATTTCTATACACTTTCTTTATATATCATTAATATTTTAATTTCTTTTTTTTCCAGAGTAGAAATTAGAAGTTTATTAAAAGGACAGCAGAAAAGACTTCTCCTGGAGGAAGAAGGGGACCCAAGAGGTGGAATCCCAATATTTTAATTTCTAACAATATTTTTGCCTTCAAGTATATTTATCTTATCTGAAATAAATGTAGTACCCATCTTTCAATAAGCATTTCCCTAGCACATCTATGAAATAATAAGAGCAATGGATTTCTATAGCTTGAAACCCAAGTTCTGCTTGTTTTATTAATCTTGCAATCCAATGCATTAAAACCATAAATTCCCTATCAGTATTGTGTCATGAGCATATCAGTCAGTTTTTTAGCACATTTTGTCCCATCATCCCAGATGTATGTAGAACACCCATAAAAACTTAAATTGAGAAAGTCAAACTCAGAAAGTAAAGGGTTGTATAAGTTTTCTCTCATATGTGGAAGCTAGGGAGAAAAAGAGTGGAGAAAAAAAAAAGATGTTGGGGACCTCTCGAAACAGAAGGAGACCAATAGGTTAGAGGAGGAGACCAGGAAGGAGGAGGAGGAGAGAGACAGGGGAGGTAGTGTAAATGAAACTGACTAAATTATATTATTATACTGTGTTGGCAGGTGGGGGAGTGAAACAGAATCTGAACAAGTCTGGGTCCACTTTTTAAGTTAATTTCTCAGTTTATGATTCCTGAACAAAGTTAGTGATATACTGCTACTTTCCATTCCAAAAACCAAGACAAGAAAAAATTCCTTAACACTTTGGTGCCAAGGGAAATAATTTTTTTCTAGTTCCTTCTCACTAAGAATGTGGTCCTTCAAGAGCTCCTCGCTTAGCCAGGCATTATGGCACATACCTATAATCCCAGCCACATGGGAGGCTGAGACAGAAGGATCACAAGTTCAAGGCCAGTTTTAGCAACAGTGAAGCCCTAAGCAAATTAGTAAGGCACTATCTCAAAATAAAAAAAAATAAAAAATAAAAAGGGCTGGGAATGTGGCTCAGTGGTAAAACCCTTCTGGGTTCAATCTTAAGTACCAAAAAAGAAAAACAACAGGGAGCTGGGATTGTGGCTCAGCAGTAGAGCACTCGCCTAGCACAGGCAGGACCCGGGTTCAATCCTCAGCACCACATAAAAAATAAAGGCATTGTGTTGTGTCCATCTACACCTAAAAAATAAAATTTAAAAAAAAAACAACAACAAAAAGGTACCTTTATAGCACTTGAGTAGCAATTAAAATACAAGCCTCTAATGTTCCATATCTTGTTTTGGGTGATAGATACATAAGTTATACAATTATAAAAATTTATTGAGAACTTAAAATCTTCATATTTTATTGCATGTGAATCATAAAATCAATTAAAAATATAAAAAATATAAATCAAGCCCTTCAGTTATTAAAATCAGCAAATCTTCCATACCTTTCCAGGTCAGCATCAACTCCTTTAAATACCAACTCAGTACAGGGGTTTTCAATTTCTTCCTTGTTTTTGGTCCTGAGATACTCTTCCTTTCCTACATTCTCAGGTATACATATTTTGAAGATGTTTACTCTATTTTCTCTTAGTATTTTATAGGGTGAGGATTACCAAATTCTCTAGACTAGTGATTCTCAACCAAGGAGTATTTTTCTCCCAGGAGACACTGGCAATGTCCAGAGACATTTTTGATTGTGTCCATTTTTGGGAATGGACAGAGGCCAGAATGTTGTTAAGTATCTTCTAAGGAACTGAAAGATCCCCTACAACAAATAATGATTTGGCCCCAAATGTCAATATATCAAGATTGAGAAACTCATCTTACATCATAATAACTTTACAAATGTTTTTGCCTTTGTGCTTCACAATGACATAGTATAATCTAGTTATCATGCATGATAAAAAGTAATCTTCTTTGAAAATTCACTCTTGAGTTCCCCAATAAGAAAGTTTCCAAAATTATATGTGGGGAAAATGGAGGATCATAGTATATATGTCTTTATTTTTTATATCCTTACAGTGCTAACAGATATAAACTACTGCTAGATTAACAAAAATTAATCATAGAATAAATTAAAGGAGTTTATAGATAAAATTAAAAGCCTGAGAGACAGGGCATCATTTAACAATGAGAAGTTTGTATACCTCATACATAATTTCCTGAGAATAACTTTAAATTTCAGTCTAATATGCACCAGTAAATTATTACCTAAGTGCTCTGGCTAGGCCATGAAAGGTCACGATAAATGCTGTTTGGTGGTGACTGAAACTTAAGGACATAATCTCTGGCAACACACTTCACTCTAAGTGTTGCTTCTGTTAGCTTTTACTATTTAAAACTGACTGATATTCATGACACAATACTAATAGGGAATTTATGGTTTTGATACATTGTATTGTAAGATGAATACAATAAGGCAGAACTTGCTCCTCAAACTATAGAAAAGTCTATTGATCTTATTATTATTTAATATAGCATGAAATATTCAGGCATATAACAAGGTCTAGAGAATAACATAGTGGACACTCATTTTCTTACCAATAAACTTAAGAACTAAAGCATTACAAATATGACAGAAGTCCCTATGGTACTCTCAGGATTCTGTTCCTTTCCTCCCCCCAGAGATAAGCCACCTACTCTTTTGAAGTATTGTTTTTATTATTATATTACATGTATAATCCATAACCGATATATGTATTGTTATGCTTGTTTTAAATATTGTATAAGTAATATCAAGCATATCTTCTTCAACTTTCTTTTTGTTATTGATAATTTCCTGCATTTGATAGCTAGAGGAATCAAAAGAAGGAACAAAGGAATTGCTGAATATGTTCAGCATCTGTCTCTAAAGAGGAACTCATCTGTGGTTGAGTTGAATTTGTCCCCAAATGCACCTGCCTACAGTGCTGTGTGCTCTTTTCTATTTCATGCCAATGAAGCTGTTAACTGAAATTCACACCCTTACACTCAGAGACAGGAGTCATTAATACCCATAAACCTCAAGTCCAGCTCTACTACATGAAATCCACTGATCTAATGTGTTTGCCTCAGGCATCTATGAAAGGATGGTAATTGAATATGGATAGTGAATTCACTGCAACTGCTTCTACATAGAATCTACTGTGCCCACCTAGTGTGTTTTTCAAGGAATATTAATAGCAGTAACAGAAACCAGATTTGATCAGTCTGTTTTTAGACAAAAAAACATTATAGATCTACTAAAGCAAACCACCAAAGACATAAAAGGTTTTATTAGTAAGCACAAAAAAATAAAGCCCAGATATTTTTATCCCTTCCATTTCAGAAGGTAAGTAGAGGGTAAAGGAGATAAGAATAAAAACATTAGCTGGGTTTTAATAGTTTTAAGGATTCAAAGAGGTTGGTCTCAGAATGATACATTAGAGTCAGATTTAGACCAGGACTATGCCCTATGGGAGACAGCTGACATGATTATTGTTCTCTTCCCAGATACACAGTCAAGTTAGCTGACATTTTATACCAGGCTAGTTCAGCAGCTGCTAAAAAAGAGGTAGACATTTGGTGTTCTGGAAAGTCGTGGAAGGACAGATTGTAAATAAGGGTGACTACCTCCAAGTACCCTTGCTGATAAGGGCTAACAAATGGCTTGCTCAGGGAAAAAGGTGAACACTAAAAATATCACCAAAGAGGAAAAAAAATAATGTGCTTAGGTAGTATTTAGGATAACTGACAGATCAAGTTCAGAAAGAAGCCTTTTATCTAACAACAACAACAAAAAAAGTTTACATGTGTGTCCCTTATTTTACCTAAACCCCTATAGCAAAAATTTTGATGGTTACCACACGGCTTCTTCCTTCTTTTGTACTTTAAGTAGAGTCCCTGTGTATAGGAAGAGCCATGAAAAAATAAAAGCAAGGTAAGATGCCAGGTCTAGAAGATTGAATCTAAAAGGTTTTAAGAATTGATCAAATATAAAGTTTTAATGCATTTATTGCCTAATTACTTAACATGTGATTGATTATTTTATACAGAATTTAAGCCAAAAAGGCTTTAGAATCATAAGAGCAAGTATCCAGGGCAATTTTTTCAAAATCCAGGAAATATGTTTTATCCTGAGTGATAGTTAGACACAAAGGCTGAGGTGGCATCAAAATAAAGCTGTGATGGAGATTTCAGTTTAGAATTGTAAAGAGACCTAGACAATTATAAATGGACCAGCACTAAGGGCCATGATGGAGCCATGCCCAATACACAAACTTCAAAAAGAATTTGGCAACTTGTTGGGATAGAGAGCACACAAAGATGCAGTGAACACACTGACTCACTACTCACCAGGTCAGACCTACCTCTCAAGTTCACCAAGGTCAGGACTAGATTCACAATCCTTGTCACTTTTCCTTACCTAAGTATATCAGTGATAGTAATTTCAGGGATGAACTTTTGAAGGTGCTTCACTGTTGCACTCAGAAAGCAGGCTTTATACATTTCACTAACTCCATAGGAGAGATTCTGGGAGATCAGTTTAATCAGGCCACTGAAAGTAAAGGAAAAAACTCTTTAGGAGAAAAAAGGAATTCTTTATTATTATAAATCACTATTAAAATTATGAGATTTTTTGGGGGGTGGGGGTGTGGCATCACTAGAAATCTAGGCAAAATCAGGAAAACTACATTTTAAAATCAACTTTGGGTCAATTTAAGGAGGAAACGTCATCAACTGAAGAGGGAAACATCTTCCAAACTCAAATTCCCACGGGGTACTGGTTTCAAACCAGGAGTCTATAAAGGCTGCCAACATCAAGGCTTTTTAATGCAAATGTCATATGCTTTCAATGACACCCAAAAGGCATTAGCAGGTCTTTAAATCAGGGCATTAAACAAGTGAGACATCTATCCTATTTTAATCATTAAGATACTCTAGTAATGATTAGAGCAAGACACTAACTATAGTAAGGATCCTCAAGACAGACTCTGTAGAGCCTGTATATGTTCAGCATGCATAGGCAACGTATTTTTACAATGTATTTATAAGAGAATCCCCATCCTAACCCTCTGTTTCAAAATCTGTGGAGGGTGAAATCCAGGTACGGTTCAAAATGCTTTCTAGTGATTTGCATACGAAATCCTCTGGAGAGAACTCTGCTATAAAGACCAAACAAAATACCTCATGAAGGTGTTTCTTACAATAATAAAAAAATCTGCATTTTAGGTCAACACAATAGTTCTGCCAGTTTTCCACAAAAAGGAACACTTTGGACATCAGCAAATTTTCTAGTGGCTTACAAAATAACGGTGACTAGCTTAAGATGTTATTATCAAAGGAAGTCATCTACTGATTTTGACAGAACCTTTTCTTTTATTCCCTTTCAAAATCAACTGACAGGGGGGGGCGGTGGCTTATGCCTGTAATCCCAGTGGCTCAGGAGGCTAAGGCAGGAGGATCCAAAAGTTCAAAGCCAACCTCAGCAAAAGCGAGGTGCTAAGCAACTCAATGAGACCCTGTCTCAATAGGGCTGGGGATGTGGTTCAGCGGTTGAGCAACCTTGAGTTCAATACCTGGCACCCCCTCTCAAAAAAAAAAAAAAAAATCAACTAGGTTAACAATATAAAATTTGGTGTAAAATGGCTCTTGGTCGTACCTTCCTTTTGTTTGTTGTTTGTAGTACTGGGGACTGGACCGAGGGCTTCATGCATGTTAGACAAGCATGAATTACATTCCCAGGCCATTTTTTAAATTTTATTTTGAGACAGGGTCTCGTTAAATCGCCCAGGTTGGCTCTGACTTTGCCATCCTCCTGCTTCAGTCTCTTAAGTAAAACATGGATTACAGGTATGTAGCCAATATACTCAGAATTTAAAACATTGTTTTTTAAAGTTGTTACCTATTGGCAATTAAATCCTTAGCATCTCTGGCACTGAAGTCAAAGGGTCTGTATCCTTCCCGTTTAAAGGCAAGAACTGCATTAGGTCCTAGCCAAATATTCCCGTCCATCCTTGGTGTGAAGTGAACTCCTAGGAAAGGAAAGCGGCTATCTGGAACCTATAGATTCAACACAGCAAAGAATGGTTAGCCCCATTTCACATTCCATTTTATTATAGATATAAACATCTGATTAGTAATATAAGACACTTTCTTCTATGCATTTAATTTGCATTATGAACTATATTCTGATATGCTTTTCTATTACCATGTTCCTGCTTAGAAATGCCATCCAGGAAACACTGATGCTATTTCCACCATGCGGCCAGCGCAATGGTTTCATTAATGAGGTTCTTGGCATAAAGTTAGCTAGATGAGATCGAAATAAAACACATAGACTCAGTTACCTTATTTCTATTGCTAGGTCCGAGACGGCTCCCCTCTCTGGTTCCCTCTTCTAACCGCCCAGCAGGGCAGCAAGGATTACTCAGGGCTATCAGGAGAGAGAGAGAGTGAACAGCCTGGGAGTAGCTTTTTATTGGGGAACAAGAGATTCAGGGGAGAATTCCATCCAATGAAGGTTGAGGGGGGACTGCACTCCAAGGTCAGGGTCAGTGATTGGGCCCCTGGGGTCGGTGGTCAGGCACACCCCCACATGGATGGGTTCTCTCATCAGGAAAGGGCCGGGAAAGTTCCAACACAGCCAGAGCGCCTCAGACCCTTAACAGGAGCCACCCAGTCACGTGTCAGAATGGCTTCCCACAGCTATTCGATTATCCACCTCTCTCCAGAACTAGGGATACCTGTGACTAGCAAGTAAAACCATGGCTGCTAGGAAAAAGAAAAAAAAAACTTAACATTCATATCACAGACTTTTGTCAAGTGGGAATATTTAATGTTGAAGCAGATGAATTTGGTGTTTTGGCATGGCAAAAAACACCAAGTAAAAAAATCAAATAGCTAAATATTAGTTGAATCAATTTCATCTGCTTCAACCTCATACTTTAAGGTATTCATTCATTTGCAGGGTAGTCTGAGACAGAAAAATGAGCCTTTTACTTAACGATTCTGTGTTCCGTTCCCAGAACTTCAGAGTAGCCACATCCCTTTTCTGTACCTACAGACAACAAACTGAGAAAGACAGTTGGGTGTCTGGGATTTCTGTAAGGGAAAGTTCTCTTATTATTAGTCCCTCCACCAGAGAGGAGGAAGAATCTGGTTCCTTTTTGATACACTGCCTATGATACATTCATGCCTTATGGAGATGTGTAAATGTGGGCAATTAATTACCACTTAATGATCAAGATATTAGAATTAATATTTAGGGGTTTAACAACAGAGCAACAGAGGAAATGCCTGCATAAATAGCCCACCAAACCTCCTCCTTACTTTTGAAACAGATAAAAGTTTTCATGTTTTTTATGCTTACAACCAACTTGAGAAGAGTCAAGAAGTCAGAAAACATTTCATTACCCACCGGATAAATATTTCCTTTTACAAGATAGCATTTTTCTGGCTTCAAGAGCAGGTAATCTCCCCGGAATGGTACAATTTGAGGATCAGGATTGCAGCCACTTAACTCTGAAATACGATCTGAGTGAAGTCCTGCACATGTCACAACATACTGACATTGAATTTCCTCTCCCTAGTGCAAAATAAAAGAGAATGATTAGCTTCCACATATGAGAAAGAACAGGTGGTACTTGTCTTTCTGTGTGTGGAAGCTTGAAAGAAAGGTTGACCTGAATGTAGAAGAGTGATTAATAGAGGTTGGGGATACTGGATACCTGGAGGTTAGATGTGATCAGTATATGATATATGCATGTGTGGAAATATTACACTGAATCCATCACTAGGTATAATTAATACATGTTAATAAAAATACAGCATTGTTTTTTAAAAATAATTTATCTGTATAAAGAGGGAGAAGAATAGGTCAAAAAAGGAAAAGACACATGATAGAAAATAAAGTAAAGTTATAGAAATGAGTTTTAAAAAAAAAATTTTGAGGGGCTGGGGCAGTGGCTCAGTGGGAGAGCACTTGCCTAGCATGCGTGAGGCACTGGGTTTGATTCTCAGCACCACATGTAAATAAATAAAATAAAGGTCCATTGACAACTAAAAAATATAAAGAAAAAAAATTTTTGAGACAAGTTCTTGCTAAATTGCTGAAGTTGTCCTTGAACTTCAATCCCCCCACCCCAGCCTTCTGAGCAGCTGAGATTACAGGTTTGTGCCATTGCACCCAGCTTTTTCAAAAAGAGGAAATTCAATGTGTCAGCAAAATAAACTCTTCAGCATTGAGACGACAACCTAGAAACTTAGGATAGAGGCATACAAGAGAAGATCACCTTAAATTTTGTACTTTATATTAGAGACAAGAATGGTTGACCCAGCAAAGATACTTAAGCTCCACATGCATGCTCAGATACCCACACCTATTCTACTAGGACCTAGGATGGAATTTCACAATTATTTGTTGCAGGAAGAAGCAAACTTCATTTAGTTCTGACCTTCACCTCTGTATTTCAGACAGATTCTCTACCCTCCAGCACGACCCCCCTCAACCTTGTTTTTCTTCTCTCTCTCTTTTTTTTTTGACACAGGTCTCCCTAAATTACTGAGACTGGCATCAAATGTATGATTCTCTGTCTCAGCCTCCCAAATGGCTGGAACTACAGGTGTGCATCACAGCAGCTGGTACTTCTCTAGTCCTGAGTAATAGCTTTGTTACTCTTGGGCTGCTCCACACTCAATAATCCTGTTCAATTCCAACTCTAACTACCGTCCAACCACTTTGTCCTTCCTGATCAGGATCTATTTTGTAAACTGAGGCTACTCTAGAAATATTATCAACTCTATTCTCATTTACAAGAAGCCATTTACTCTACACCCAAGGTTTGCTTTAAGTATTAGGAGAATGCTAACCTTGGACTGTTATAATTTTTCCACAAATTTTATTTTGTGATTGTCATCTGGGTTCTTTCCTTTCCTTCTCCTCCCCCTCCCCCTCCTCCTTGTCTTCTTCTTCCTCTTCCTCTTCTTCTTCTTCTTCTTTTGAGATGGGGTCTTACTATGTTGCCCAGGCTAGTGTCAAACTCCTAGGCTCAAACTATTCTTCCTACCTCAGTCTTCCAAGTAGCTGGGACTATGGGCACATATCATCATGCCCAGCTACTTGCTCCTAGTAACTTCTTGCTCTTATTCCCAGATGACTTATTTCTGAAGCCTCAGAGTTCTTACCTCAACATTTTCTTTTTTGCCATCATCTGTTTCAGCCTTATTTCATTGAACTATATTTTTTACTCTATATGTGTCCTATTTTCCCCCTTGCTAGAAAAGTAAGCCTCTTTTCAAGAAATATATAAGTCATATTTTTTAAGAAAAATCAGATGAAATTTCTCTATAATGAATTCAAATTAGCTAGACTAAATCATGATAGTTTTGAGACCCCTGAAGTCAAAAGGGCTACGTCAATGACAACAACAACAAAATGATTCCTTTTAAATAGGCTAAGACAGGAGGATCTCAAGGTTAATATCCTTCCTGTTCATCTAGAGTTATATACCAGAAGTACAGGAAATACTTTTGTGTGATACGAATCTACCGGTTCATACTTAAAAGTCAGCAATTTTTATGTTCTTAGAACATAAAATGTAGATAAATCTTATGATAAATATATAGATAACAGCAAAATGCTTAAGTTGGTACCAGCATGCAATAGTTCTATTTTTAAAAACTCAAGCAACAGTTCCAAATAAAGAAATGATTAAAAATGGTAAGTCTCTGAAATCATGTTATGCTGTAGATGAAACAATAATTAAATTTGGTAAAATATTAATTTCACTTCCATAATGAAATTTAGGTAAACATTATGCATTTCTATAGTTCTTTTGAAAGTGAAAAGACGGTTTCCTATCTAATGTATAAATTCTTTTAAAAAAGATTTTAGTTTAGTTGTAGATGGACACAATACACTTATTTATTTATTTATTTTTATGTGGTGCTGAAGATCAAATCCAGTGCCTCAAATGTGCTAGGCAAACACTCTAACTGGAGATAAAACCCCAGCCCCTCTAATGTATAAATTCTTAATTTGCCTCTCTCCAAAAGTTTATTTTTTTTATTGGTTGTTCAAAACATTACMAAGCTCATGACATATCATCTTTCATATATTTGATTCAAGTGAGTTATGAACTCCCATTTTTACCCCAAATATAAATTGCAGAATCACATCAGTTACACATTCACATTTTTACATAATGCCATATTAGTGACTGTTGTATTCTGCTACCTTTCCTATCCCCTACTATCCCCCTCCCCTCCCCTCCCATCTTCCCTCTCTACCTCATCTGTTGTTGTACAATTCTCTCCCTTGTTTTCCCCCTCCACCTTTCTCCTCACAACCTCTTATATGTGATTTCGTATAATGTTAAGGGTTTCCTTCCGTTTCCATGCAATTTCCCTTCTCTCTCCCTTTCCCTCCCACCACTCGTCTCTGTTTAATGTTAATCTTTTCCTCATGCTCTTCCTCCCTGCTCAGTTCTTAGTTGCTCTCCTTAAATCAAAGAAGACATTTGGCATTTTTTTTAAGAATTGGCTAGCTTCACTTAGCATAATCTGCTCTAATGCCATCCATTTCCTTGCAAATTCCATGATTTTGTCATTTTTAGTGCTGCGTAATACTCCATTTTGTATAAATGCCACATTTTTTTTATCCATTCATCTATCGAAGGGCATCTAGGTTGGTTCCACAGTCTAGCTATTGTGAATTGTGATGCTATGATCATTGATGTGGCAGTATGCCTATAGTACGCTCTTTTAAGGTCCTCAGGGAATGGTCTGAGAAGGGTGATAGCTGGGTCAAATGATGGTTCCATTCCCAGCTTTCCCAGGAATCTCCATACTGCTTTCCAAATTGGCCGCACCAATTTGCAGTCCTACTAGCAATGTAGAAGAGTACCCTTTTCCCCACATCCTCGCCAGCACTTGTTGTTGTTTGACTTCATAATGGCTGCCAATCTTACTGGAGTGAGATGGTATCTTAG